GGAGGCGACATAGCCTAGAGTTTATTAAGTTCAGTTGGTTTTAATGTCAGTGGATGACTCCTCAGCTGGTAAGTTATTGAATGAGCGTGTGGACTTGTTGAATACCTTTTACAATGTATTTGATCAACTACCTTTACCGTAGATTAGGTACCATAATCCTAATCAAACCTTTTTTTTTAGATTGATAACAGCAGTGTATGTTGTCACTCATGTTGAACCGTGGCCACGGTGTGGCTCTGCACCAATCAAGGACAAATAATATTTCAAATGAAGAAGCAATCACTAGCACTGGTCACAGTTAACGTGGATTATCTTTGTTACAAATACGTTCCATAGACTGCATATTAACACGGAAAGAGAATCACATATTCGAAAATAATGTAATAATGGAACAGATTTCACCTCGTGAAGTAAGTTTTTTTATAATTATTTTCATTATATTTTATTAAAGACATTGGCTTGATATATTTAAACAAAGTGTATATTTTTTTCTATACAAATACTTCTTAAAGAATTAATTTTGAATGATACCATAATTAATTTCTTTGTTTCAGCTGCGGGGATCTGACCAAATATGTCATCCCTGATGGCAGTGAGCTAATCGAGCTGCTACACATACTGTGCAGCCCCAACAAACACATGATGGGACGAGGATTCATTTGCCCTTATATTGGCCGAATAACAGTAGGTTGCTGTGCTCATGTTATGACAATTTTGTGGTTTTTGAGCTGGGCAAGGTATCAGGAACATGTATTTCCACCTGCCTAGTTCCTAGACAATATTTGATTGACCCATGAGTCAGATTAAAATAATAATAATTTAAAAAAATGGTGTTTTATTTTGCTTCTAACCTTTCTTGTCTTAAGCAAAAAAAAAAAAATTTTAAGGACTTTGATACAAAATGATACTTATATTCTGTTTCTTACTGGTATAGACTATTTAATAAATAACAAATTACATGCTGTAATGTCTGTCCACCTCAGGCCAAAGGTCCCATACTAAGTGGGCATAACCCTTTAAAGTATTTTCACCGATAAAATTGTCCATAGATTTCGCCCTTAAAGTTTGATCACTACATGCCCGGACACACTGTATATAAAAATGAAACCCGTTTCGCGTTGTCACGGCATCACGTGTGAACGGCTGAACCGATTTCGATAATTCTTTTTTTAAAATGTTTGTGGAAGTCCAAGGATGGTTCTTACGGAAAAAAATATTAAGAAAATCTCTACGCTAAGGCGGTACGAAGTTCGCCGGGTCAGCTAGTTAACTATAAATTAATAATGAATATTGACTACCACCTACTGTTAATTGTGAAAAATATAAAACGTTAAAATAGCGGTATCGTTATAGCCAATGTGATGCTGTCATAGTGACATTGACAATACGTCAATGTCACACGAGAATCAAACGTCAGAATAAAGGGACGCGCGGAGACGACTCCGCGCGCTTTTGTGCTAAGTGATGAATTGTATCTAAAATAAGGCAATATACTGTGAAAGTTAAGTATCCAGTGTTTTATTTATGAGAATAGATCTACCGGCCTCTAATA